GTGGATGCTCACAGATCAGAACATAGGCCAGGAGAGCAGTGATTACATTTCTCTTTATATCATACTACCTTGGAAGAACTGAAAACTTACAGGCCTCCAAAACTATCTCTGAGAGCAGCAGCAAGAAAGCCATGAAACTTGGGGTAGTGCCCCTGCCACCCCAAGAACAGAGACCCACTTTAACAGAGTTAAAATTCAAGAAATAGGCTAGAAAAATGAGTAAACAGCAACAACAAGAGAACCTTACTATAGAAACTTACTATGGTGACAGGGAAGATAAAAACAGAGACTCGGGAGAAGTCAAAATCAAAACTACAATATCCACATCCTCAAAGAAAAATGTGAATTGGTCTCAGGCCCAAAAAGAATTCCTGGAAGAACTAAAAAGGGATTTTAACAATCAAATAAAAGAGGTAAAGGAAAAATTGGGAAAAGAAATGAGAGTGATGCAAGAAGATCATGAAAAAAGGGTCAACAGCTTAGTAAAGGAGGCACAAAATATCCTAAAGAAAATAACACCTTAAAAAACAGAATAGGCCAAATGGTGAAAAGCGTGAAACTTTACTGAAGAGAACTACATAAAAAGCAGAATTGATTAAATGGAAAAAGAGGTATAAAAGTTCACCAGAGAAAATAATTCCTTAAATATTAGAATTTAGTGAGTGGAAGCTAATACTCTATGATATATCAAGAATCAATAAAATAAAGTCAAAGGAATGAAAAAAAGTAGAAGAAAATGTGAAATATCTCATCAGAAAAACTACTGACCTGGAAAAAAGATTGAGAAGATATAATTTAAGAATGACTGGATTACCTGAAAGCCATGACCAAAGAAAGAGGCTAGACATCGTATTTCAAGAAATTATCCAGGAAAACTGCCCTAATATCCTAGAATCAGAGGATAAAATAGAAATTAAAATAATCTGATCACTTCCTGAAAGAGATCCCAAAATGAAAACTCCCAGGAATATTATAGACAAATTCCAGAGCTCCCAAGTCAAAGGATAAATTCTTCAAGCAGTGAGACAGAAACCATTCAAATACTGCAGAGCCACAGTCAAGATGACACTTTAGAGCAGAGGTTCTTAATCTGGGGTCAACAGATGCCTGCTAGAGGTGAGTAGATGGATTTTAGAGATTCTGTGAACTTTAAATATTGTGGAGGCGCAGTCAAAATAACCCAGGATTTAGCAGCTTAAACATTAAAGGACTGGAGGACTTGGAATATGATAAACTGGAGAGCAAAGGAACTAGGATTACAACCAAGAATCACCCATCCAGCAAAACTGAGTGTAATCCTTCAGGGGGAAAATGAAATATTTCAATGAAATAGAGGACTTGGGCATTCCTGATAAAAAGACCAGAGCTGAATAGAAAATTTGGTTTTCAAATATAAGATTCAAGAGAAGCATAAAAAGGTAAGGAGGAAAGAGGAAATCATAAGAGATTCAATAAGGTTAAACTTCACATTCCTACATGGGAAGATGATACTTCTAACTTCTAAGAACTTTCTCATTATTAGGGCAGTTAGAAGGAGTATAGATAAACAGAGGACATGAGTATGAGTTGGATATGATGGAATGGGATGTAAGAAAAATAAAATTAAAGGGTAAGAAAGAAGAATACACTGGGAGAAGGGAAAAGGGAAAAGCAGAATGGGATAAATTATCTCACATAAAAGAGATGCAAAGAGCTTTTACAGTGGAAAGGAAGAAGAAAGTGGCAGGAGGATCACTAGAACCTCATTCTCATATGAATTGTCTCAAAGAGGAAATGACATATACACTCAATTGGGCAGAGAAATCTATTTCGCCGTATAGGAAAGTAGGATGGGAGGGGAAGAGGAGAAAGTTGTGCATCAGGGGGACTGATAGAAAAGAGGGAAGATTGAGGGAAGCAGTATTCAAAAGGAAAACACTTTTGAGGATGGACAGAGTGAAAGAAGAGAGTTAAATAAACAGGGAAAAGTAGGATGGAGGGAAATAACAATTAGTAATCATAACTGTGAAAAAAATTTACAGAAAGTTTCTTTGATAAAGGCCTTATTTTGTAAATATAAAGAATTAAGTTGAATTTATAAAAATAAGAGCCATTCCCCAATTAATAAATGGTCAAAAAATATGAATAGGCAGTTTTCAGATGAAGTAATCAAAGCTATCTTTAGAAATGCTTTAAGTCACTATTGATTAGAGAAATGTAAATTAAAACAACTCTGAAATACCACCTCACATCTATCGTATTGGCTAATATGACAGAAAATGAAAGTGATAAAAGTTAGAGGGGATGTAGGAAAATTGGGACACTAATATTGGTGGATTTGTGAACTGATCCAACCATTCTGGAGAGCAATCTGAAACTATGCCAAAAGGGTTATCAAACTGTGCATACCCTTTGATCAAGTACTACCACTTCTAGGTCTGTATCCCCCAGGAGATTTGAAAAAAAAAGGAAAAGGACCTATTTGTACAAAAATATTTATAGCAATTCTTTCTGTTGTAGCAAAGAATTGGAAATTGAAGGGATACTTATCAAATGGGGAATGGCTAAGCAAAGTGTGGTATATGATTGTGATAGAAAACTATTGTGCTATAAGAAATGATCAACAGGATGATTTCAGAAAAAAATATGGAAAGACTTACATGAAAAGTGAAGTGAGCAGAACCAGGAGAACATTGAATACAGTAACAGCAATGTTGATGATAATGAATTGTGAATGCCTTAGGTATTCTCAGTGATATGGTGATCTAAGACAATTCCAAAAAACTCATGAGGAAAAATGCTATCCACCTCTAGAGAAAGAACTGATGGAATCTGAATGCATATTGAAGCAGATTGAAGCACTTTCTATATTTTTTGTGCTTTTTTTTTTCTTTTTTGGTCTGTCTTCTTTCACAACATGACTATTATGTTTTGCCTGATCACTAATGTATAACTTCTATCAAACTGCTTAACAACTTGGGGGGTTGGAAGGGAGGAGAAGGAGAGAATTTGGAACTCAAATTTTTTTAAAAAATGAATGTCAAAAATCATCTTTATATGTCATTTGGAAAATAAAATATTATTTAAAAATAAAAATAAAAAAAAACAAACAAAACCTCCAAATCACCCAAACCCTTTCCAGGTACCATTCTAGGTGCTAGGACTATACAGACAAAAACAAAAATGCTTGTGATAAGAAACTTGTATAAATTATAATTACATTGTAATAGCAGGTGGTATTTAAAACACAAATATGTGTAGTCAAGGAAAAATTGAGAAGGAAGGATACGGCAAGTATAAAGAGAAAAGGTGAACCTTGAAGTATGGGTGAAAAGGACCATGTGCTTCCCCTGAGTATTCCTGCTAATAGACTAGCAGTCATATATCCTTTAAAGGCAACTAAAAAGTTCCACCATTATAATGATCTTTTTTACTGAATTCTTCCTTCATACCACATAAGACATTCATAGCTCCTTAATTATTTAAGTAGTTTTAGTAACCTACCTAAATTTGATCTTAAATTGTACTTTTCAGTTGACTCAATTGGATTTTAGGGGAGAAGAACAAGAAAATTGAGCTGGTAAAACTGCCATATTAGTTTTGTCCACCCCCCCACCCCTACTTACAGTTGATTGTAGAACAGAGCAGCCACCTCTACCTAACCCAGGATACAATAATAGCTAAGCCAACATTTCATTGTAATTCCCCCAAAAGAGAGGATGGTGCAAGGACAAAGAAAGAAAATAATTGAAAAGGAGTAGTAATATTTGAAAAAGAGTTGACTGCTAATATTAGAACGTTGTGATATATTTTATGATAATTCAGAATATTCTGAACACTTTCCAATTTTCTTCTGAAATAGTAAAATTTTAACTAGGAACATGAAATTCACAGGAATTTTGCTGTATTTAGCACTCTCTGGTACTAGTACTACTACTAGTGCAGGAGTAGCTGAGGTATAGAGTAAGTGGGAATTGGTTTGCAGTCAGAACGTCTAGGATGAAATCAAAGCTCTTTTTGTTTACTCTGATGTCTCAGGCAAGTTATTTAATAACTGACATGTGAGATACTTTAAGGTTTTTGAATACCTTCATATATTTTATTTCATTTGTCCTTTATGAACAACTCTGTGAGGTAGGTACTCTGGGCATTTCATTTGCACTTGAGGAAACTGAGACCCAGAGGAATTAACTGATTTGTCCATAATGATATAGCTAATAAATATCAGATATAGAATTTAAACCCATGTCCTTGATAGCTGTATGACTATACCCTTTCCTTTACATTGTGCTGTCATTTAAATGTTTTGAAGCTGGTTCTTCAACTATAAAATGTTTACCTCAAAGGGTTGTGAGAATCAAGCAAGATAATATATATATGTATATATATGTGCTATTATTTTAATGGAAGATACTATTATACTGTGTAAAATATCTATAAACCTTTATTCCAATGCCGAATTGTGGCATGGAGGCAATCCATGCTGTTGGGTGTATGGTAGCTTGGGCTAAGCTAGGAAGGATTTGAGTTAGGAGAGTCTCATCACTCTTTTGGCTATAAGGAGATGAATTTTTTTGTGACTATAGGGTGTGATCTAAAGTGACATCCTCAACTGCCTACTCTATGATTTTGAAATACAAAATATGTTTAAAAGTCCCATTCCAGTGTCCCACCATAATGTGGAGATTAACCTGACTTCTCCAAGGATCACCTAGAGTATCACAAATTCTGAATGGTCCTTGCAAACTGAAAGACTTCATGGATAGGTCCATTGATGGAGTATATTTTTAATACCTGTAGAACAGATTCACTAAATTCAAACAGCCATATTACTGGATTGGCCATGGGACAATGAATATTTTTGATCGTAGTAACTCAAAAAATTGCTAAGCAACTAAGGTATAGGAGGAAGTTACATCTTTGTGGGTGGAGGGAGAGCCCATGTGGACAAAAATCATGGATTCCTGAAGTGCATAAGTACTAAAATATTTAGTGAGGCCCATTTTTTCTTTTTTTTTCAGATTGAAGGTGCATTTACCCAAGGGGTTGGACTTTATACTTTGGAAGAACTGAAATACTCTCCTGAGGGAGTCCTGTACACCCGAAGCCCAAATGAATATAAGATTCCTTCAATCACTGACATCCCAGAGGAGCTTAATGTTTCCTTATTAACATCAACAAAAAACCCAATTGCAATCTACTCATCTAAGGTAAGCAACCATGACTTTAATTTATTTAAATCTAAAAATGTCTACTTAATGGATGAATCTAAACATAATTACTGTTACTTGTCATTGCTAAAGTGAATACAGAGATAGGGACTAACCCTATGATTCCCCTGGTATAGGGTACTCTACTTACAGTCTTAAGTTGCCTGGAGTACTGAAAAGTTCAGTGACTTGCCTAGAATGACACATATATTGTATGTCAGGGGTGGGACTTAAAGCTAGGTGTTCCTGGCCTCCAGATTTGCTCTCTATTTATTATGTCATGCTACCTTTCATACACATGGCATGTTAAAAGGCCCTAAAAGAAGGTTTCCCATGTGTTTGGTATATCTTCTGTGGGGAATTTCTGGGAGGGCATAGGCATAATGAGAAGGGATAAGTGGGTTTTGATCTAAATCTTAGATCACAGATCCTTTAAACTATGAATATGAGGAGGGAAAATTGCATTAGAATGATGTCAGTATATGTAGGAGTAGTTCAAAACTTAATGTCCTGATGATAGATCCGGAAGTTCTCTGTCAGTTAATCAATTAATTATTCAGCACCTCCTGTGTACCTTATTTGATCATCTTTGAAAAATAGTTTGTTTAATGGAGCTAATTCAAAAGATATACTTCTGGGAAAGACATACTTTTGTGTCCTTTAAGTTAAGAAATTTGGACAGGTATCCAATAATGAAAGATATGGTTGATTTTTGGCAACTAGGTGGCACAGGGGATAAAGTGCCCAAACTATAGTCAGGAGGACCAGAGTTCAAATGCGGCCTCAGACATTTACTAGTTATATAACTCTGGGCAAGTCACTTAACCCTATTTGCCTCAGTTTCCTCATCTATAAAATGAGCTGGAGAAGGAAATGGCAAACTACTCCAGTGTCTTTTCCAAGAAAACCCCGAATAGGTTCACAGAGAGTGAGATATGACTGAATTATTGAACATCAACAAATTGAATGTACACAGATACTTAGAATAGAATATAATTTTTTTGTGTGTGTGTGTGTGTGTGTGTGTGTGTGAGGCAATTGGGGTTAAATAACTTGCCCAGGGTCACACAGCTAGTAAGAGTCTGATCTGAGGCCAGATTTGAACTCAGGTTCTTCTGACTCCAGGCTTGGTGCTCTATCCACTGGAACACCTAACTGCCCCTTAGAATATGATTTAAAAAAAAAACAAAACTTAAAAAGAGAGAGATGGGAGACATTTGAAGGTGGCTTAATGGAAAAAGGTGAAATTTGAACTGGATTTTTAAGGATGGATAGGACTAAAAATAGGTAGTGGTGGCACTAAAGACTATCATTGGGTCAGAAAGGTATTTCAGGGCATAAAATTCAGGATAAGCACTAGTTCATAGAACACAGAACAATGCATCATCCAGTATATGGTTAGAATATATCAGTATGGGGGAATAGTATGAGATGAGGTAGACTGGAACCAGATCATGAAGGCCTTGAACTCCAATTATAGTGTACCCCACTCATTTAGTAGGCAATGGAGATTCACTGAAGGTTTTTCAGATGAGGAGTTTACATGATTATTATTTGTGACATTGCATTAGTAAGATTCATCTAGCAACAATATAAAAGACTAATTGGTTTGGATGGAGGAGATTGGAGGTAAAAAGACCAGGAGGGAGTCTTCACATAATAATCCAGGCAATAGATAATGAAGGTCTAACTTTAGAATAGCAGCAATAGGAATAAGATGTTTTGCAGTTGGAATAGATGATTAAGTGAGAAAGAGACAAAAATTAATGCCTGAAGTTCTAAATACAGGCGAATTAGAGAATTATAGTGATGGTAACAGAAAGGGGAGTCAAGCAAAAGATAAGTTTGTTGCAAATATGTTGAGTTTGAAGATATTGTTGGTGTACCTAGATAGAAATGGCCAGTAGGCAAATATGAATCTGCAATTTTACTCTCAGACAGGTATTTCATGTAGTCCTGTGATTTCAGTTATCACCTCTCTGGTATCTTCAGTTTTAGAGCTTTAATGATTACTTTCAAATATATTGCTAACCTCCATGGATTTCTTTTGAGCTCCAGATCATATCCAACTGTCTACTGGACATTTCTACCTGGATATTATGCTTCAATTTACTTAAATTCAGCATATCTAAAACAAACTCATCTACTTAACCTCAAAATCTGTTCCTATTCATGACTTCCTATGAAAAAAGTCAAAGAAGGGAACTTTGAAGTTTAGGGTCTTAAAGGTTGATCAGGGTAAGATCTAGGCCCTAATATTAACTACATTTTCATATGTTAATGCCCAGTCTTCCCATTTAAATGGAACATAGAATATTTTTTACTTACCTCTGTAACCTTGATAACTCAAAGCACAGTGACTTGCACATACTAGGTCCTCAATAAATACCTGTAAATTTGTTCAAGTTTTTTTGAAAGATTTGTCTTTTCTAAGTAGTATATTCCTATTTTTCTACAACAAGAACAAAACCTGAGACCTGTGGCAAGGGAAAAGTACCTTGAATTTGAAGGCAGGTGGTCTAGGCCCATTATTTCTGAGTTAGAAATTGAAGCAGGATATACTGCATGTAGGTCAAGGACAGAAGGAAAGATTCAATGTATGTAAAAATATGTATAGCAGCACTTTTTTGTAGTAGCAAAGAACTGGAAGGAATGTTGGATGCCCATTGATTGGGGAATGGCTTAACAAATCTTTTGTGATAGTAAGGGCATATTATTGAGCTGTAAGAAATGAGGAATATGAAGAATTCAGAGAAACTTTGGAAGAGTTATATGAACAGATAAAGAATGAAATAAGCAGAACTAAGAGAACAGTTTATGTGATTACCACACCTCTATAAGGGAGAACAACTGTAAAGGGCTTCAGAATTCTGATCAATGCAGTGACCAGTCTTGACTTCAGAAGACTAACAGTAAAGTATGCCTCCCACTTTTAAGCAGAGAGGTGATGGACTATGGTTCCAGAATGAGGCACATATGCGTTTATTTTCAAACATGGCCAATATGTTGTTTTATTTTGTTTAAATGTACTTTGTTATAGGGTAGGGTTCTATTGTCAGATAGGGTAGAAATGTATTGCAAAGGGACAATGATGTTTTAAAAGAGCATCAATAAAGTAGTTTTAAAAACTATTTTAAGTCTATGTGGGTTTCCTATACCAACCTTGAAAAGCTGTTAAGAAAATGATTACCTATGTTTATATATTGCTTGTTGTATTGTCTAAATATTGTTGGTTCTAGGTATGGATGTGAAACACCTTCCCCCCCTTCCCCCCCCGAACAACTGTGTTTTCTCTTAGGGCCTAGGTGAGTCGGGAATGTTCCTTGGATCATCTGTGTTCTTTGCTATACATGATGCTGTGACTGCAGCACGAAAAGAGAGAGGCCTGACTGAGACTTTTACAATGAGCAGCCCTGCAACCCCTGAGCTGATTAGAATGATTTGTGTGGATAAATTTACTGACCTGGTATGGAGCTCTTTTTTTTTTTTTTCTGTCTATGTATTCTTTGCAACTTCTTTCTCTTGTTATCAAAGCCTTCTCTGTGACTTCTCAGTTGGAAGAAGGAAAGCAGTAGGGGTTAGTGTCAAGCAGCCAGATACCTTTATTAGTGATTATGGGGAGGGAAGAAGAAGAAAACAAAACCATCAAACACAGACTTGTGTCTGGAATAGAAAGTTATGTTCCAAAAAGAAAAGGTTTTTCCCAAACCCTATTTGTCCATCAAAAGAGACGCCATGGTACAGGAGCAAGAACACTGGTCTTGGAGCCAAGAGATTTACATTTGAACCTTGGTTTCAATACTTATTAGCTATGTAACCTTGGGCAAGTCACAACCTCTGAAGCCAATGAGTTCACTCATCTCTTGAAATGGAATGATAATGCTTGCCTCACCTGCTTCAGATGGTGGTTATTAGGAGAGTGTCAACCTTAAAATGCCATGTAAATGTGAGCTATTAGTCGAGGTCCAAAACAAGTCCAGCTCCCTCCAGAAAAACCTTTCCCAATCCAACCCATAATGATCTTTCCTTCTCTGATCTATAGCCATTATCATTGGGCAATTGGTCAAACATTTAGTAAGCTCTTGCTATTGCCAGGTACTAGGCAAGATGATAGAATACAAAGATAAAAATGGAATAGTTCCTGCCTTCAAAAATTTATATTCTGTCACAAAAGCAATATGTGCATAAATAAATATATACAAAATAAATAAAAGATAGGCAGGGCATTAAAGCTGGGGGAATCAGGGTAGGCTTCATGTAGAAGGTGATTACTGGTCTGAGGTTTGGAGGAAGTTGCGTGGGAGGCAACCAGTGCAAAGGTGCTGATATGGGAGTTGGAGTATTATATGTGAGGGATAATAAAAAAGTCAGTTTGACTAGACTCGCTAGAGTAGTGAGGGAAGGCATGTATAACAAAATTAGAAAGGTAGGTTTAGGACAGTTTCTAAAGAGCTGTAAAAAAAAGTGAGATGAAGCATCTTACATTTGATCTTAGAGGCAATAGGGGGTCACTAGTGTTTACTGTAAAGAAAAGTGTCATGGTCAAACTTGCACTTTAGAAAAATCACCTTAGCAGTTCTATGGGAGAAGGAGTGAAAAGAGGTGAGATTTGATGTAGGGAAACCTATTAGCAGGATGTTATAATAGTCCAAGGCAGAGGTGATGATGATCTGAAATAGGGTGGTGGCCATGTAAGTATAGAGAGGGTGACAGATGCAAAGATATAGTGGAGATAGAAATGGCAGGATTTGGCAACAGATTGGATATATGGGATGAAGAAGAATGAGAAGTTGAGGATAATATTAAGGTGGTGAACCTAGTCTAATAGAAGGATAGTAGATTCCTCAACAACTAGAGAAGTTCAGAAGGAAGATGGATTTGAATGGAAGGATGATGATTCAGATTTGGACATGTTGAGTTCAGAATGCCTACAGAAAATCCAGTTCGAAATGTCCAAGAGACAGTTGGAGCTCAAGAGAGAAACTAGGACTAGGTATATAGATTTGGTAGTCATCCACATAGAGAAGATAATTAAAATGTTGGAGGCTAAAAATGAAATCACCAAGTGAGAATGTACAGAGAGAAGGGAAGAATACCTAGGGCAGAGCATTGTGGCACACTCCCAATTAAGGGCAGTGATATGGATGCTGAATCAACAAAGAAACAAAGAAGGAGCTGTCAAATAGGTAGGAGAACTATGAAAGCAATGACATGAAAACCCAGAGGAGAAAGAAAATCAAGGAAGAAAAGGCAAATAACAATGTCAGATGGTGCAGAGAGGTAGAGAAGGGTAAGAATTGAGAAAAGCCCAGGAGATTTGGAAATTAAGAGACGTTTGGTAACTTTTGAGAGAGTATTTTCAATTGAGCAAAGAGGTCATAAGTCAGATTGCAAACTGGTTTACCCAGTTAGGTTGTAAGCTCAATTAATAACTGTTGATTGAAAGGGTTTCCATTTCCAAAGCAGTCATCCCATGCCTTGGGTTTCTTTAGCTTTCCAAGCTCTCTAATTTTCCTTAGTTTTATTAACACTTCTCTCAAGGGCAGGAGGAAGAGTCCTGAGTCCCAGCCCAAGAGCAAAAGGGCACAAAAGAAAGGAAGAGAGGAAACACTATATATTGAAAGAGGAGAGCCACATGAAGGGGAAACTAGAAAAAGACAAATGAGATATTTTATGAGTAGATATGTAACAAAAAGTGACTTAACAGTAGCCACACAGTGCTTATTGGCAAAGAGTTAGGATATCCACTTATGTTACATAGGCAAAGACAAAGGCCATTGAAGGATTTGGTAGTGAGAGGACTAAGAAAGCATTCAGTACAGCTTTTTGAAGACACATACAGATTTATATGCTCTCTTTTATTATATACCAGCCAAAATTAGAAAGCTTTCATTATTTCTTGGAATCATAGATCCACATAGCTGGAAGGGACTTCAGAATCCACACCCCTCTCTTACATTTTGGAACTGATACCCAGAACCATTAAGTGTATTACCCAATGTCACCACACAGGGAGTATCAGAGATAAGATTTGAACCCAGGCCTTCTGACTCCAGATCAAGTGGTCTTTCCATTATGTCATTTTAGGGCATTTCCATATCATGCCATCCCAGCCAAAAGCTAGAATGTTGGGTGCTAAGAAAAGTATAAGCACAAGAAATCTCTGAATACAGTTGGGGCAAGACTGTCATTAGTAAAATTGATTTAACTCCTAAAATCATCCTCATGAAGCATGCTGAGGAAGATAATTCAACCACAGTTCAGAAAGAAGACAGTTATTTGGCGTTTGCTAAGAATGCTATACCCACCATAACTTCTTATGAAAAAGGTCACTAAAGACCTACTTAAGCCACTCACTTCATCCAGACCTGTTCTAATGGCTCATTATGAGTCTTTATTTTACCACCTACTAGATGGGCAACTCATTTGATATCTTCACATCTGATAGCTATTATGCCTGCCATAGCTGAAATGCCTCTTTAAAAAAAGGCTATAAAAATACATAATTTTTTTATTATTATTATTTCCCTTTGAGGTAAAATGTGGTGAAGTAAAATAAGCAGTGGACCTGAAATTAAAATCTTGATTCCATGACTAATAAATCTTAAAAAAATAATAACAATATTGAATATCTAGCATTTATATAGTACCTAC